TTAATAATTGGCATTTACCGATCAACGGAAGTTACAATCCGTGAGAGCTGAGAAACAAAACCGTATGATGAGATTATTACTAAACATAAAGTTAATGTACAAAAAAAGTTTTATCAAATTCTGCATTATATCATTTACGACTTGCATCAAATTTGTATTTCAAGGTATTGTTTCCATCTGTCACCATTGAGTGGAGTAGAGTATACGGTCTGGTGATGAATACCCTGTGAGTGTATAATAAAATATTATAATATAATTTGGTGAAGTTAAAAAAAAAAACGGTCTCATTATCATGTTTCGAGGTATAACAAACTCTTAGGCCAAATAGGCTCGTATAACGAAGCCGTATTCAAAATAATACCAAACTTAGTCACGATCCGTTTACCACTGTCGGAAGATTTTATCGAAATAAAAAATTTCAAAAGACGTTATGGCAAGCTCAACAATTTTAATATTAGTGACATGCTAATCAAGGTGATGTTTATTTATAATAAGTAATACAGTATAATATAGCTGCAGTACATAATTATATCCGTGTTATATTTTTACATCAAAAATTGTGTCCTCTATTAGGTCTCGTAATCATTGATTCAGAAAGGTTGTAACTGTTCACTACCTCTTTCAAAAAAAAAAAAAAAAAAAAAAAAAATGAAATGAAGATTAGATTCATGATGTGCCATGTGCAATGACGATGTTATAAATATCATCAGGAGAGTATCCGATAAGAATCTAAATGTCTAATTCTATGTTTTTCTGCTGAAAGTTTTTATTTCTTTTTTTAATTTTCTATACTTTTAATATAAAAAATTAAAACTAATTTGAATGGGAGTTTTTAGACCTTTATTAAGTCATGATTTGATTTTATTACACAACAATATAAAAATACTACGAGAGTACAATTTTATATATTAATTTTATTATACATTCAAAGCATGATCAATTTATACTGGTGACATCATTAACATTAAACGGGCTTAAAAATATATTATACAATAAACCCTGTACATTTTTTGATTCAGTGTACTATATTGAAGGGGCTCTGAGTAAAATTTATACCATATAAATTCTACATGGATATTTTTTGAATTCTACGAAAATATTATAAACTCCAACAATACTAAATTAATTCAAATTACTGATATTGTAAAAGAAATTTAATTCAAATGTCATGCACAATTATTATACTAAAATATATTATACTACATAATGAAATAAACTAATATTAAATTGTACAAATTATTGTGATTAGTTCAATTAATAAATCTCAATATACAATAGGTAATAGTTAGGAAAATTTAATATTTTACTTTATACGCTTTATCAGAACAAGACGTTAAAAAAAAAAAAACCCTATTTTACTTTATAAAATATTTACTACTGTCTACTTGACATTATGATTACATGAAAATAATAAGAAAAAAACAAACATTTAAATAATAAAAATTAATTGAATATTATGTTGTGATTATTCCATCAGACCGAGTGGCCTTCCCACGCATATTTTTGTTTACAAGTTCATATATAATTATTTTACGTTTCTACGTATAATAATATATTTAGCGAATGAATCGTTCATCTAATTTTTTATATTTCTCCTGATAATGTTTTACGTCAGTAATTATTTATAATATTGTAAGTTATAAGCTATAATATTCTAAATGTACGTAATATGTGGATTCGTATATATATATATAATATACACATAATATATATCGGTCTTACTATATCACCAATTTAAATAAAATGTATATACATTATGTTTATATATATATATATATATATACATATAGGAAATAAACGTGTTTTCAGTTCATGTATAGCTAACTACTACATGGAGCGTTATAAATTCACGACTATCTATAACCTTGAACTTCGCAAGAAAAAAAATAAAATTATTTATATTTTTGTTGGGTTTGAATTTTATTGTTGATGTAGTTGATATACGTAAATATATTTACACAATAATATTTTGTATTAAAAAAAAACATTATAATATACTAATTGATAAGCATTTGTGATTAAGAATAATATGTTTGAGTTATTATAATAATAGTAACATTATATTATTATAAACATTGGAATAATTCATATTGACTATTGATATAAAATAATGAAAATTAAACAAATTAATAGTTTGAAAGACAAAAAAGATAAAAACTAAATACACACGACAATATTACATAATATACGTACATCTGTCCATTACAACCCTACTACGAAATAGGAACATATGTATGTGCCATATACATTATACATTAAATTTATACCTACCAACAATAATTGCAATACGCCTACAGTACTAACAATCACTATTACTGACATTAGGTATTCATATCACATTTGGTATCTCAGCCATGTGAACTATTCAAATTTTAAATTAAACCTGAATCAACATTTTAAAAAAAATTCAAAAATGTAGGTAAATAAAATAACAAATAATTAAAAAAAAAAATAATAATTTTTGATTTTTCTTCAAAGAATTTAATCTTAATATTTATTTCATTAGAAAATCCATCGGTGCATAGTTATTAATTATTTAAAGTTTAAGTCTTTACAGACGCTAAAGCCATTTGATTGGTCCACCAATGAATACATTTTTCAAAAATATAGATACAAAATAAATAAAGACTAGTAAGTTTTAATTCAGTTACGATAAGGATTAATTGTTAGGGATAGGATTCAGCAGTTTGCCACACTATGCCAAATTAAATTTAACACAACATTAATTATCAGTCTTTTATTTTGATTAATTTTTATATCAATACCTACTGAACTTTTATCTGTTTATATGTAATGTATTATGTAAAATAAAAATAAATATTAAATTATATTTTAGTCTAGATTTTATAGTATCAATATGCTCACCAGAAACGTGTAAACACCATTGTCGTCACTCGCAATCAATTTCTAAACAATTCACGTGTACGTGTATACATATCGGTAGACGGTTAATTCAATTATAAACAAATGGATTCATACCGATACCACCTAAATAAAGCAAATGCTTGTATAACGTATAGTATTATATCTTAGTACCTATCTATGTATGTATTTTATAAACAATTAGATCAACTTAAACAAAACTTAATTGCTGTCGTCTTTAACGAATTCCTGAAAAAAAAAAACTAAGTATTACTTTGCTAAAACTAAACGAATACAAAATATACCGTTCAAAATTTTAAAATATTAAAATAAATCGAAAACATTTTTTTCATTTTATTATATAAAAACAAAATAAATATTCAACATAATTTTGTCACCCAATGCTGCCACTTAGTTCGCAGTGCCTCAATTAATCCATCCCTGCAGTTAATTGCACAATATGTAACAATAAAATCCATTTCAAGCAGCTATTACTTATAAGTTAGAAAATAGGTAAAGCACCAGTATTAAGTGGTAAATGGTAATGTAACGGTATTTTTTTTTACGAGTAACATGTTACATAATTTCGTTAAAATATTTTTTAAGTAATAAAAATGTAATGAAAATTACTTTTGATAATTAATCCCTATAATTCAATGCGTTACGGTTTAAATAAATTGTTTGGTGTTATAAAAAATTATAAAATTATAAAATAATTTGAAAAATATAACATGTTTATAAATTACCTATAATACGAATATTGGAAATACAAATATTTAACTTTAACTCTTTACGATTTAATTTACAGTGTTTTTTAATATATCAGCTTGATAAAATTTAATTACAATTATCATAAATAATTAGCTATAATTTCTAAACACACAAAAAGTTTCCTGTAAATGTATAGCTCTCGTGGACTGGTATTATAAAGTTTTTGTACATATTAACTATCGTCTGATAAGTTTAATTTTATGATCACTTTTAAGTTTTAACCTAAGTCATAATATAAATTCAATATACACAATTTCTTTGTCTATGTAAATATAGCTGTTTTAAAACTCCGGTGCAATAAGTAAGTATTCAATCGTTCGAACTTGATGACAAAACTTTATAAATTGGACAGTTTAAACTAACCCAATATAGTGCGAGATAATGTAGTACAGTTCAAAAATTAATATAACTGCAAGTAGTAAATAATATAATAAAGTTATAGGTTTTATTAATATTGTTACAAAATTAAATTTTTTTTTTTTAACGAAAAAAAACCTTTGTTACTTTTTAGAATGAAAACAATTTTACAATTTTTTACTATTTTATTAGATTAATAAGTAAAGTAATTTCATTACTTTTAATAGTAGCTTAGTAAACTTACTGACTTACCCAATACTATAAAGCACTATATTTTAAGCATATATGATGATATATTAATAAAATCATACTAAACATAATTATTTTAAAGTTTGTGTTTATATTATGATAGTTGTAGAATTTATTGCTTAAAACTATATCCTATGGCCCAACGTTTCTTAAACTATATTCCACGGAACCCCAGGACTCCGTGAAGCTTAAGTAATTTTTTTCAAAATGTTCAAGAAAAATAGTTTAAAATATCCAACCATAAAAATTAGTAATGGCTATTGAGAAAAAAAAATGTTTTTCTATTAAATAATAATGTATATGGTATAGCAGCCTATAGTATAAACTCTATAATCTATAGTATAATTATCATATAATATAATTATAATTTTTATTGCATATAACACTAAAATAAGCTAAAAAAAAAAGTAGGAGCTCCACGATAAAAGTGGACATAAAGAAGGGTTTCATGGATAAAAAAATTTAAGAAAGGATTTTCTATGCATATGTACCAAAAAAATGCGATACATACTTAATATATGTGACTAAATTTACTTACTTGCCCTGGTCAATAACTGATTGCCTATTCGTTATGTATCGTATCGTCGACAAATAACACGTATTCTATTTATTTTGTTATCACATTATGCCTATTTTTGTGATCGATAAGGTTAACTAATAATTATGTAAATACAAATTATTATTGTTTTTTATAGAAAAAAATTTTATTCGGTCATGTTATAATGTTTACAAATAGAAATCTTATATTATGTAGGTACAGTATTAAAATCAAATTTATAATTGAGAAATAAATAGTGATGAAATAAATAATACTAAAAGTCGTCAATTATATTATGACTTTTTAGTCGTACGCCCAAGAAAATGGTGACGTAGTAAATAATAAAAGGAGATTCGGATGGCATCAAAAATGTAATGAAAGTTTTAGTAGTGACCACTGCCGTGTCCGTGATGATTTGAACCATGTCCACCGTGTCCTTGACTTCCACCACCGTGACCATAACTTGATCCGTGATTACTGCCATGTCCATGACCACCTTGCTGATATTCTGATCCATGGTGACTTCCACCATGCTGATATTCTGATCCATGGTGACTACTTCCATGTTCATAGTTTGAACCATGATTTTCATGTTCTTGGTGTCCATGTTGGCTACCACCATGGTGGCTACCCTGTTGGTGTTCACCATGGTTTCCACCATGATGTCCTTGGCTTTCGCCGTGTTCATAACCACCACCGTGGCCGCCTTGTTGGTATTGACCTTGACTTCCATATCCTTTTGATGAACTTCCACCATATCCGTACGGTGTACCCAGTGAGTAACCGACCAATGCGATGACCAATATGATTGACTAGAAAATACAAAAAATGCATTTAAATCACACATTTAATACTCAATTAGCACCGACTTATAAGTTATAAAATAATATAATAGATGTACTGGTATTTATATTTTATGGTATAGGTATTATTCAACGATTTCGAAATATACCTACTAAGTTGATTTATTAAATATTAGAATATGAAAAAAATTACTGTAACAATAATATCGGAAACCAAATAAATACATTATTTATTAATAAGGAACAAAAAAAAATATGTCCAGTACTGATGAATATTACTAAGGATTGTGATATAGTTCAGAAAATAAAAATATTAAATAATTATTATTCTTAGTCGTTACATCAATTATCTTGATATATATTGTATGAAGTTATACAATGAAAGAAAAATCAGTTATCTAGTGTAGAAGATATTAATAGGTACCTAGTTAAAAACATAATCATGTTGTATCTTATCTCTTTAAAATATTTTTCATTTCATTTTAATTGACAATAATAATATTAAAAGTAACTTAAAAAAAAAAATATTTGGACTTATATTACTATATAAAAATGTTACTTTAAAATCAAATACTAAAATTATTTTCATGGCATGTACTTGAAAATAATAGTTTGAGGATAATAGTTTTAAATACATATTATTATTTTATAATTAATTATTGTTTTATGTTATAGAAATTACTACTCAACTATAACTTTGTTAAAATAATCATATAAAAAATAATTAAATTTTTCTTTGAGAGAGTAGGTTTAAAACAATAATAACTATTAAGCTAGTTTTTTTTTCCCCTATGAGTTATATCTCTGGACGACGAAGATTGTACAAAAAGAAAAATAATTGAAAACATACAAAAAAATTTGAAAACCTAATAAAACATTAGTTGATAGGTACTTAAATCAGTACAATACAACTTATAAGAAATTATTAAGGGATATCGAAAACCTTTCTAAGGACAATATGAAATTTTTATAATATCTTAATACTATATAATGATTATTTAAACAAAAATATTCGTGTATTTTGCGAACTATTTAAATGTGTATGTTTGTACGGTATTAATTTACAATAAGAACGGGTTTAAAAGATAATTGTGCGGTTACATTAATATTTCGAATTATTTACCACCCAAAATCACAGTAAATGGGCCAGATATTAACGTTACGTAAAAGAAGTACGTTAGAGAGGACACGTCCCCAGTACTTAATAATAGATAAATAGGTATTAAAATAATTACCAAACGACTCATGATGGCGATTGGATGTGTTGTGTGTTTTTGCAAAATGAGTTCAGCGGACGTTGGAAGACTGTAAGTAATCTTTGAATTGCGACTGCGATCGTTCATCGGACGAGCGCCGTCTTATAAACGAAGCCCGCGGACAGGCTTTTCGCACGCGCGAGTAATCATATACATAATATTATTAAAAATATTGTGTATCATGATTTAATGATCGACCGAGGTTAATCTAGTACGGTATACGCCTACAATACATCCTAATCTTTATCGTGATAAATGTACATGTATTATTATAACTATATGAATCGTGACCGTGGTAGTAATAATGATGTTGTGGTGAGGTGGTGGCATCGATATTAGCGGTGGTGGTGTGGTGGCGGTGGTTATTGCGGCAGCCATCACCAAAACTGGTCTGCAGTTGTTTTGTTGTACAAAGACTACGATAATAATATATTAATATCCTTATTATTTACACGTTGCTTTATTATTAATGGCTATTATAATAATAATTACTATAAGATAATGTATATTAATTTATCGACCGGTATTTACGTATTTTTGGTTTTCCCGGATGACCGACAACAAATGGTCTCTATCTCCCTCAAAATCATCACCTTTTTCTCTGTTTCAAAAATATACGCTCACAATTTATTTCACGTACAAAGATCGAAGATCTTAGTGTTAGTGGTAATTTTATTGATTTAGGTCGACGCGAAAAGGTATTTACCAGTAATATATAGCTATAGATACAATATATAGTACCTATCTAGATTTTAAATGTAGTATGTACCTATATACTGTATTGACAGTGGTGGACTTTACAATTCAGATAAAAACAAAACAGAATGAAAAAACAATTTTATGGGATCAGTGTGATTAAGTAAATACAAGTATATATTACTAATATAAACATATATTGTAGTAATCATCAATTAACCTCTCACGTCATCGTCTATCCATTCAACGACCTTCGTGACTTTTTCGTCGAAAAAAAACTGAGAATTTACCCAGTATAATTTATAGGTGCATAAATTACAATAAAACTTATATCCGAATGTGAATAACAACGGTCGTAATTATATTTATTATGCCGGAATTATGGTGTGCAATAATAACTGAAAATATCTCTGATTAAATTTTTCTTAGAAACTAACAATGGTAAATAATTATAAAATTATTGTTGATGCAAATATACTCGTATATCTTACGTGCCAAATTTTATTGTGAGACATGGAGTATTATCAATGGATGGATTCTCTGCTAACACTAATTGACAATTCCTATAGTAAGAATTCAAGTACTTATTATAAAAAATTAATTTACAGATTGTATTTTATAAATAAAAAATGTGTTAAATTTATGATTTTGGGCTTTTGGTGCCACTATATCGTGATAAAAATTGGTATTTTATATGAGTAAAATAGCAGTATAGTATTCATTTACAATATTATGTTAAACTAAATATTGCTCAAATTATTGCATTTATCTGCTTTATAAAAATCATTTTTTTTTTCGCGGTAATAAATGATTACGAATTATACAATTTAATCCCGACGTACCTATTAGTTATTGTAATTGTGTGAATGATGTTTTTTATGCATTTTCTGTATCATGATATGTAAAATATTAATATAGGTACATAATAACAATAAGTTTCATGTCATTCAGATCAATAATGACTAACGAGTAATGACTAAACTCGTTATGTTTATGTATCCAATTTCATAAAAATCACATCACAAATTATCTATTGATAAGATTTATGCTCATATATTTACGATATTTTTTTAATTCTGTAAGTAAAACTACTTACGAGTGATCTTGTATTACACTTTTAAACTTAAGTTATAAAAAATTAAGATATTTTATGGATTTATAAAATTATAACTACGAAACATGTTTACTAATTTAAAAACGTTCGTAATTTTGTCTATCTATAAAATATGTTGCACAAAATTTTAATTTTAAACTTTTAAAATAAATTTAGGAAGAGAATTTTTAATTCCTATAAGAATAACTTCTAATTTATAGCAGGAACCTTTATTATTACATCTATATTTTTTTTACTTAAATATTTTTTTTTAATAATATTAAAAAAATAAGTCAACAATTTCTAATGTTTATCCTAAAAAAGCTCTTGCAGAGCCAAAATGTTTTGAAAATTATATCTAGGTAGCTATCATTTCCAGGTTTTACTAGAAAAAATATTTATTGACCATTTCCAGTATCATTTAATTTATAATATTTGTAAACTGTATTTTTTGAAAACTGGTATTGCGTAAATTAATTATTTAAATTAATTTTAATTTATACCAATTATTTTGAAATATTATTTTTATTTTTCCAGTTATGTTTTACTTTTGAATTTCGATCCTACTAGAGAATCAACTTAATACAATTTTCCACAAAAAACATCATTCAAAGTTGAAGGTCAAAGTATCTTTACTTTCCAAAAGATAATGATTGATGGCAAACAAAAAATTTAATAAATAAATTCATACATGAAATCATTATAAATCCAATATAGTTATTACTCTATTTAGAATCTATTATAAATATCATACTTGGTATTTTAGTCTATATTTAGTTTTATCAAAAATAAAGATTATTCAGTATTCAGTTTGTTGATTAAATAGAAATGAACAAAGAATTCTTAGAAAATTATTTAAATATTTTTAGTAATTTTATGGTTTTTATTATCGAAGTAAAATATTCTTTGTGGCATTAAAAAATTTCTTATAATAACTATGAAGTCTTATAAATATAAGAAAAGAAAATATCAATTAATAAAATAGTATATATTATGTATATTAATAACATATTCTTAAGCTTTAAAAAATATTATAAATAAAAATATTTTCAGGTATGTACAAGTGAAATATTAGCTAAAAGATTCGGTTTTAGTACAAATGATAGTTATTCGTGTCAACGAAATTATATTAATAAAAATAGTAAAAAAAATTGTACAATTACAAAACTATGTAAACGAAACACTTAAGTACTACCAGAAGTAGTATTTATGTTTCGATATTTCGAGTAAAATAGATGAATACGAATACATATTAAACACATGATATTTTAACAAAATCTGGTTATATTTATTTTTAAATATATTATTAATGAGTATTAACGAGGTTATAATTTGTTTAAATTAATATATTTTAAATAACATATCCACTTCATCGTTTGTGCGTCAGCTCGGTGGTTGTACTCATTTAGGTAATGTGTTTTTTATGCTAAGACTAATTTAAAATAAGTAAATTGTCCATTAAAAATTTTACTGAATATTGATTTCATTGCAGAATATTGCTTAATAGTCAATATTACTATGATTCTGATATACTAATATATACACTATACATGATGGTTAAAAACACAAGAAAAAAAGATAATTAGGATTTTGACACATAATAATATTTTAATATTTGACTTAAAACATTTACACTCTGCTGTGTCGTCCGTATTTGTTCGCATTATTCATTTAATCATATATCTTGGTAGGTATATTAATAACTTAGTTAGAAATTAGTCATTGTAACGTTTGATATATTTTAAACATATTATCATGATAAATGTATACTATTTCAGTTGTGTTAATTGATAGCTATTTAGCCATTGTAACCAGACTTCAATAATAGCTGAATATTTTTCAATTTTACTTACCTAGTAAAATATTATATTAAAAAAGCCACACGATTCAGCTAATTAAAACACAGGGATTTTAACATTACGTGTTCAATTATGAGACGACACTATAGTATTACACCAGAGTATAAAGACCACCATATAATTTTGACACCGTTATCAACTTTGAATTTTTTAAAGACAACATACTTTCCAAGACATATTAATTAGATGCTTGACTAAGTATCTAACATCTAATTTATATTTGAAGTAAATTTATAGCTAATTAGTTAAGGATAAGAATACCAGGAATGGAATGTATTGATGGATAATATTTTATTCTTAGACCTAACAAAAACTTAAATTTAATAACATCTCGTTCAAATTTCAACTCAAAATTTCTATTTTAATAACGTATATATAGTAAAAAAAAAAGTTCTTATTTAAAAAAGATGTTGATCTCCCTAAACACGTATTTTATGGTATAAAAATCTAAAAATATGATTCTTAAATTTACTTAATTCTAAAAATCAGAAATTTTATAAATACATTATTAAAAATTAAAATATTATCATGTAAAAAAAAGTTAATATAAGCATCAAGTTCCCGAGATAAATTTTGAAATATCGCTTATTTCAACTTCAAATTATATTTAACAAAAAAATATTTTCTAATTTGTATACAATTTTTTAACGCTATTTGAAAATTTAGTAAATATCTAACAAACATTAGAGTGAACATTTAGGATGATTAAAATTTTTTGTAGCGATCTTAAATATCTCAATAAAATTTATTTATTTTTAAAAGAATAAATATATTTTATTAAATTAACCTGTATTATAATGTAGTAATATGATTAAAAATGTTTAAATCTATTATATTATAAAATATTGAACAAGTATTAAGTAAATTGTATTCTCGAGTCTAATTTCAAATGACTCTTATTATATATTTAATCCATACAAAAACATACAAAAGACAAAATATTAAAAAAAAAAAAAAAAAAACGCTATAATTATTTATTTTTTAACTAAGTGGTTCCGTGTGGTATTTACAGTTACAAATTATTGTAGCCCGGCGGCTAGAACAACTTCGTTAGTATTGTTGCAAACCAGTCTTGTAAGTTTTAATGGAACCGTTTTTATTTCTGAGATTCTTTGAATCTCAGATATTAGAATGTCTGAGAGCTTATAGCTTTTAAATACTTATAGAATATATTAAAATAATTATATCTATATAAATATAACGACCAGATATCAAACAGCAAGTCGATTCAACCAATTTATAATAGATAACAACGAATATTATAAACAGATATAGATCTAAAGATCTTAGATTATTATAAAATTTAGCCTCTAAATTACGAATGCATGGGAATTAATCCTGTGTACATAAGGTGTAGCTGGAAGACTTGAACATTGTTACTGAAATATGCCATACTATACAATCGGTATAATAACCATTTAAATGTAAATAGTTTTGTTTTCTGTATTATTACATAACTAATAAAAACGATAGTATTATAATAATTTATTATACACCATATAACGAGAAATGGGATTAAATTATAGGTACTACTGAGTAATATATAATTTATGATAGGATTATTATTTTTAATTAAGTATACAAATGTGCAATAATAGAAAAATTACCAAATTGGGTGCAACAATTTATATTTCGCAATATTTATATTTGTTTATCCATATGAGATTATGAATAATTGCACATTATAGTATTAATCGTATGTAAATAAAGTCCACCTACTATAGTGTTGTATAATTAATTACAATTTATAAGTAGGTATGATATCGACCATTAATCGATATAAAAAGTTATTATTATTATTTGTTACACAACAAATAATTATTTTAAAATAATAATAATTATGTTTGAATCAATCTTTTACATTTTTATAGTCTTACTAATTTTACTACTGCAAAAAATATTTGCGAAAATCGTGATATACGGAGAATCTATATCTGATATTGACAAAGAGATTTGATCCAACCATTTTTTTAGGAATTTAGCATAGGCAATTTTCAAAACAATTGTATGTGTATCGCATGAATGTATGCGTAGTAAATGATCATTACTGTATTAATTATCGTGGAACTGTAATGTTAAAGAGATAGATAGCAGGACGCTTATGAAAATGATCACAAATGTCGAGAACCAATCTGATTGTTGACTAATATTTTTCACTAAAAAGCATATAATTTTTTTCCAAAAATAAGTATCAATAGAAGATTATTAATACAATAATAAATTTGATTACATATCGTAGAAATGTATTGTGAAGTTAAATTGAAATCGACCATATAATTTATTGTTTTTTTCCCATAAAATAATTGTTTACAAAATTCTTCAATTTTTGTATTTTAAATTCAAGTTTAAGAGGAATATAAGAGTTGAAATTTGAAAATTGTTGCGATAAGTTTCATTTGAATTTATAAATATTCTAATACATTTTTAGACTTACTCTTGTCTCATTACTATATTTATATGTATTATGGGTGAAATATAGGTATATATTCGTAAAACAAGCTGGTTAGGTATTACGAAATTATTAAATTATGTTTTTTAGATTTAATACATATTCGTTCTTTAAATTTTCAAATTTAGACATACCACATTCAACTGTAAGTAGATTTAAGATAATAATTTTATTTTATTTAATTCATCTTATAAAAATCAAATAGATCATTTTATTGAATAACATAATTATTTATTTTAGAATTTATAAGTATATTTATATATTGATTTATTGCTTTAAAAGCTATTATACATGATGTAAATTTTATTTGAATATAACTCTAATGGCATTGATTCCGATTAATTTTCTACACATACCTTAAAAGTATTGTTATTTAACGAAATAGTTTTTTTTTTATGGTAAGAATAATATTATAAAGGGAATATAATAATAAAAATATGTTATGATCTTTACTCAGCAGACAAATTTCCCAATCATTTACTATTAATATGACGCCACATCAAGGTTTCATGTTCGTAATCATAATATTGTCTATGCTTAGCACAAACACGTTTATGCTGATAAACCATAGATTAAATTAAGAAGAGATTTGTGTAGCACTTAAAATAAAAAAAAGGAACTACTAATTATTAAAATTATTTTCGAGGGCATTTAAATTAATCTTACTTTTTAATCAAATTATATTATTATTTTAATTTAACACTTCATACAAATTCATATCCATATTATATATAAAATATGATTATTTCAAAGGTAAAATTACTTATTCTCAATTATTATTAACATATGTAGAATTATTTTTCATACATAATTTCAAAACATTACGAATCCACATTATTTAAAAATAAAAATGTATTTTTTACTATTGGTAAAATTATTTAACTTTTTAAATTTTAAATGACATTAAGCATTTACAATTTAATTTTCTTAATCAGAAAATGTTCTGAAAAATTTAATGTATCTATAAATAATGGATTTTGTACGAGTTTAGTTAATTAGGTAGTAAGTTTTACAAGACAATTATTAAAGCTTAGATGAGCCGAATATTAAGTGAAACATTTTTGAGTTGAACATTTTGTGAGTTACCCTTGTGTCACCCCAAATCGCTCATAAGAACTTAAGATTATTATAATTAATTAACTACACATCTAAATTTAATTTTTTGTACCTAGAAACTATAAAAAAAATATAATTTTCAAAATTAAAAATTAAAAATATATGTCTGTTATTCAAAAAAGTAAAATTTAAAAAATAAAATTGATCAAAAAATGTGCAAGAATTATAATGTTTTTTAATGATTTGAAATTATATAAAAATAATATATTCCAAGACAATAATACTTTTTGTGAAATTTGGTGTTAACATTTATAGAATCGCTTTGTATAAGAATAAAATATAGTATATTATATCTTAATGAGTTGCTTTTTATTAAATATTAATTAGCCATCATATTAAAAATGAAAACTACTATTAGCTCTAAATTTAAGATATTACCATGTTGGTAGTTGTACTACAAAAGTAAATTCTTTTAAAACATCACGCAGTTTACAAAACTATATTTTTATTAGTGTATGATGTTTAACATTTCTTATATTATATTTCATGACATATTTTCTGATATTTTTGCTTAAAAAAATGTATTTAACCAATTCAATTTCTTAATTTTAGATTATTATTTATATTTTATTTTTTTATATACATATTATATTCTAAAATATTTTAGTTACTAATCCTAGAAATCCAACCTTAACGTAGGTTGAAGTGTAGATAAATAAATTGAATTTAAAATCATTCCACCAAGCTAACTTCATTTCAATATATCTTCAATAATCAAAAAAATTTTGTGATTTATGAAAAATATAAACTTTACCATAATAATTACATCCTTATACATGAGTGTATATTTATTAAATAAATAATTTATTTAGATATTTATTAGTATACAGTTTGAATGATAATTTTTATTAAATATATTTTTTTAACACAATCAAAAATCATTATATGTTCAATATAATGTTATAATTCTTAATGCAATACATTATTTTTAATAATACCTAAAAACCAGTCTTGTAACAAATTATTCAACTATAGGTATTTTGATACTTTTTTTTGTACTTGGATACAATTGTATACACATTTAAAATAAAGTGTTCAAATACGGTACTTGAATAAGTTTTTTTGCATTTTTTTCTTGTGTAAAATACTTTTAATCTTGAAGCCAAAAATAATTTTACGTAACAAAAATAAAGTTTGTAGTTTTAAAGAAAAATTGATCTCAATTTATTCCAATTAATTTTATTTTTAATTTTTTCGCCGAAATGCAAAACAACTTTGACGTTTGTGTCTAATATTTTTACACAATGGTTAAAAGTTTTATCAACCATATGATTTATGGACATAAAATAAATTCTAATACGAATTTTAAAGTATAAAAACTCATTCATTTTTTACAAACTCTATTAATACAACTTATACATTTATTCGAAAGTTACGTGAGTAATATTAACTTGAAAATTAAACAATATCAAAAAATAAAATCATTTGAATTCATATAATGGCACGACAAAATCCATAACTTATCTAATAAACATGAGTATTTTAGATTATAGTAGATTAGGCTTAAAACCTACATAACCATTAATATACAATATTTTAGAAGTTTCCATAATCCACGAAAAAGTATAAAAAAAAAAAAATTAGAACAAAGAGACATCAAAAACGTTAATATAAACGTATAAATAAGGTGTTGAATATAATATTAAATTAATTGTATAAATATATATAAAAAAAAATAAAGAATGGTAAGAGCATCTTATGAATTATAGTCAAATCAAACAATAATTCATAAAAAAACGAACAAAAATAGTAAAGAAATTAAATAAATATAAAATTAAAACTGTATGACCAAAATTACGACTATAATGTTTTTTATGATAATATTTACTAAAATTGACACTTTTGAATAGTTTTTGATGGAAAGTCTTATGATTCAGTATTTTAGTATTTGTGATAGTTGTACAAAATCAACTTCCTGGAATTATTTATGATATATTATAACATAAATGGAGTGAAATATGCACGTGCTTCACTATAAAGCATTCAAATATTTGGAATGCTATATTAGATGTGCTTTTCGCTTTCAGGTTTCACACTTCTTAAATTAAAAGATCCTCTCCTAATGTCTCGCAACACCAAATCCACTATGCATACTTCTTCATCTTTGGGTATCATAGACCCTCGTGCGCGCTTCTTAACGTTTGGGATGTCCTTTTCCTTTTCCAATTCCGCAGCGAGTGTTTTATTTTTTTTTTCTTGAATTTTGCGATTTATGTTTTCCTGTTATGAACAAACAAACAAAAAAATGTAATATTTTTTGTCAAGTCGGTAGATTATAATTATTTTATTGAATAATGCAACAATAATTTTTTTTGGGCGATATCAATTACATAACAAAGATGACCTTACCTTAGCAACAACGTCAATGCGCTCAAAAAAATTTCCCAATAAAGCAAAGCATTCTTCAATTTTAAATTTGTTAACGTCCTCACCGAAATAAACAGCTACTCTTTGAATTACCTCCGTTGCACTTTTGTACTCCTTGTTTAGAGTTTCGATATCAATGATAGCTTGTTTCATAAAATCTAAACAGTTTAAATACACTTATTTTATTAAAATACATAATTATATTAAAGAAAATACGTTCATGACATTTAACTATTTTAATAAAAATAAAATTTGATGACAGTACTCAGTAAATAATATTATTATGAACGATTACCTATCTCTTTCCATGAGTTTATAATTACATTTCCTATTATTTAAAAAAATTATTATTCCTAAATTGTCCCTAAGTGAAAGTAATTCCTTTATTTGCCATTTATAGTTATTATAGTTATTTTCGTTTGTGTAGGGCTTGCGCTAATGAATAGTCCTTATTAATATAGGCAGTTCTAAATTAAAATGAGGAATCGTAAATCTACACTTGACCAGCACTAAAAATGCGTAAACTCTCGGTGATACTTACATGTAATAATTGTATACAATATTACTTGTTTAAATTAAAAATAATTCTTTTGTTTTTATTGATCATTATAAATTATTTAATTACCATTCAATATTGAGTTTTGAGTAATTATAATTATTAATTATGTTGTATAAGTTTATAATTTAACGTGATGAACAGCAGATGATATTTAATCGAAAAAGAGACTAAAAAAAAGAATATTAATTTGTGTTACAATTATTATAGGTAATAATGTCAAACCTGAATTAAGAAATTTAGAGGGCTAGGTTCAAAAATATTCAATTAAATCCTCTAAAAGAATAAAAATTATTTATTTTTATTATCTACTATTTAAATTAGTTAGATAAATATGTTTTTCCAATTGTAGTCAATTATATTATTATGTTACAATTGCAATAGCCAATAGAGGTCACATATTTATTTTTATTAAATAATAATAAAATATCAAAATATGTTTACTTCTGGTATTATGGATAATATATTTCATTCTGCTATAAAAATATACTATTGCAAATACTAAGACCCCCGGAGTCTTGTGAGTTTTAGCCCAAGAGTCATGCACACTCTGTCACTTCTAATCCGGACTTGATTATGATAGTGTGTATAATATAGTTTTTAGTTTTCTGAATGTTGGTGATTAATCGATTGTAATTTTTTTTTTTTTTTAATCACATGTAAGTTCAAAAATATATTTAAAAATTCTAAATTTTTTTAACCCAAGTTGTACATCTGCGAACTATAACATTAACTGTGCAATTATGTATATAATTTCAAATTGAAACGCAAAATCCGCTACCCAATCAATCAGACGTCTCTAATACTTTCTTTGTTTATTATAATAAAGTTTCACTAACTTAGTCAATTAAACTTAGTGCTATTTAAAATAAATATATAACAATATTAAATAACTTTAGTGGTAAAATATAAATAATTATAGTAGTGCATTCAATTATAATAGAAATAATGAAATATTGGATGAATCTAAACTAACTTAATCTTAGATATATAAAATTTTAATTGGACAACTTATATTTCTAACTTACATAATCATTTATTATTTTAGCACTTGCCTGAGAATTGATCACATATCTGTTTTTTCGTTTGTTTTGACAATTGTAGATGCAAACTTCTGATCTGTTTCGTTTTGATGTTTATTTCGTCTTCCAATGACAAAAAAGATATCCTATAATATAAGATTCAAAATAAAAACAAATAAATAAACTAAATTATTTAAACCCGGTTTATCTATCGCACATCAATTTTGCATAGTTCACTATTATCATGTATTTTTTATACATTTAAAATCAAAATAAATGTAAGCATTAATAATGAAATTATTGTGTTGTTATAATTATTACCTGGATAGATTCCTAAGTGCCTCGGTGTACTTAGTGAAACTCAGTATGTCATCAATTTTGTTCGTCTGCGCCACTTCGACTACGAAATGAAGAAAAGTCACTCTAGGTTTGTTGGCTCTGGTATCAAGCAATTTAGGCAACGTGTCCAAAGTGAATCCACTCGCATTTCCGGCATAGCTTCCCTGAAAAAATATAAGGTGTGAAAAACAACGAAAACTCGATAGCACTTTACTATTGGTATATTAAGGCATTATTATTTGAATAATAACGTTTTCATTTATTAAACATATAATTTTATTATTAAGAAAAATATTTCAGATATTTTTTTATTTATATAAGTAATTGTGTCTGAAAATTATTTGAAAATTTATTTTTGAAAACTATATAAATTATTAATTATAAAACTTCCATTGGAATACATCTGCGTTTGATTAATTATCTGATAAAATGTTAATAAACTCTGAATACATGAATGGACGAAATTAATTTAAAATAAATTAAATATCTAAAATTATCAAACTATATGTTTTAATATAAATTTAAGTTAATCTAAATACAAGTAAATAATGACAAATAAGTTAATATTTCTTTAATAATAATTATATATTATAAGAGCAACAAATACATAAAAAAACCTCGGTAATACATATTTTATAAGTTAATTATTTATGTTTTTGATAGTTAAATCGATAATTATGAATTATATACTACTTGACTACTCTTTTAAAACCATTAAATAGTTTATGTTAATATAAGGATTAATATTTAAAATAATTTGTAATTTATTAGAAAATAAATTATTTATTACAAAGTAAAATCTCCTTTTTGAATGTATTTATAAATAAACGAAAAAAAAAATCATGATAGTATTGTTGTATTAGTTTGTTGGTATTATAATTAAAACTTTCGTTGAGTTAAAATTAGTTAAATTGCTTTTTGTATAAAATATTAAAAAAAGTATACCACCTAGAAGTTGCCATAGATAGAACAAAATGCCAATAAATACTATATAAACAACATCGTTAAACTAGATTTAAAAATAAAGTAAATACATTTATATTGAATATAACTAAAGGTAAAAATATTTTTAATTTTTTCTTTTATTTCTTATTTATTACAAATACTTAGCATTAGAATTTATGAATAAATATAAGTTTTTAATACAATAAGATATAAAAATTATTATTTTTTTTTTATTAACACAAGCTTGTAATATTATTATGATATGATTTCAAATTAAATTGATTTATATTTATTGTAAGTTTTTTTTTTTTTTCAAATCGTCGTTTATATATTTTTTCTTAAATTCCAAAACTTTAAACTGCTTACAGCATTTAGGTAATTTCCGATAAACAGCACTAGCGACAGAAATTGCTTAAACGGCTGATTATTTATTAGGTCATCGCACATTTTTTTGACACTTTCTAGTTGACTTTGTATTTCCGACACTATAGCAGGTAATTCTTCTTTCTGAAAAATAAAATAAAATATAAATTTTTCTAAATATTAAATAATATGTTTATTTTACACGATGATTCGTGGAATCTCAAAACTTTAACGTACTTCAATCATGAGTTTTATTCTCAATTGATAGTTGGATATGCTATTGAGTTGTAGACAAAACTGCTCCGCAGATCCAACAGTAGACAAGTCAACATCTTTCTTTTTTATCAATTTTATCTAAGAATTAAAAACAGTAAAAAGCTACGTGTTACTATATCACACGAATCCGCCGGATTACCGCATATTTACCTCTTCGTCTGTTGGCAAAACTCGTTGAAGGCCTTTTAGTTTCTCAAGAGGAATCGACTGTCCACTTTGAAGCGCTTCTAAAATTTCATGCGAACCGGATTTGAACTGTTTCAACATTATGTTAATTGCTAAGCTCCGATTATTGTCCAATATATTCACAACGTTCACTTTAGAAACACCATTTGGTGACAATACAGCAGGTGAAGATTTTGCTCTGGGTTTTTGACAAAATAATTCGTCAATTTTCTTGAAGTTTATATTTAAGTTAGGAGGATCCGCCGACGACCAAACCGACTTGTCTGAAAATGCATTATAAAATAAAATATTACGATTTAGACGACTGATTAAATATCCAAAGATTGCTCATTTAATACAGTTATTTCAACATTACCTAAATATTGGTTATTGACCTTGGTCCAATTCAAAGTCTTCATTTTTGTTTTTGGTAACGAGTAGTATTTAATATTGTTACTCGTTCTTCTTGTAGGTACTGTCCGATGACCATCAGTAATATTCGTAATAGTTTTACCAAGTCCCAAAAACTCCATTGATGATATCAATGTTGTAGATAATTGAGGTGCTTTTTCTGGTATTAAAATTAGTTCTGGGGACTTCAATCCAGTAAAGGGAGGAGGTGGTGGTGGTGCCATAACAGGTAAAGGTGGCGGTGGTGGAGGTGGTGGTTGTGATATTCCTGTTGATGGAAGTGGTGGTGGTGGTGGTGGTGGTTGTAATATTCCTGTTGATGGAAGTGGTGGCGGTGGTGGAATTTTTTGTGATGATGATGATGATGGTGGTGGCGGTGTTGGGGGTGGGGGTAGGGGTGATGGAATTCCAGCTGAAATTGGAAGTGGCGGAGGAGGCGGAATTCCTGAAATGTTCGACAGAAATGGCGGAGGTGGTACTACTGTACTGCTTCCACATGATAATTCCAGAGATTTACAAGCATCATTTTTTATATAGTTCACGTCCAATAAATTTGGACTGTTATTATTCAGCTCGGAATTAGAGTCAACTTCAGCAAGTCCAATACCGTCACAATAACACGCACGTTCTGTCTGAGTAAATATAGAACATTTAATAGGGTTTTTAGTATGGCGCCCGTTAAAATTAGTGTGTTCGTCTAATTTGTTGACGACTGGAAGCGCGGGTAGTGACGGTCTTTTAAGTTTAATAGTGGTTCGTTTATCTTTTGGTATATTTAAGCTACAACGTCGGGTATTCAGAGATAAACCTTTAATAAGTCTTTTCTCGTCAGTTTGAGACCCCGTAGAATGCGTTTTTGATGTTTTTCGATATATATCCAATATTGCTTGTGGATCATTACAAATGATTTCGTTGATCAAATTCCAAATATCATTTCTGAAAAAAAATTATTCTATTAATATTTTATTGTGTTTAAAACTATTTTATTTATCAATTATGTCAAAAAAATATCAATGATAGGTTCTTATAAATATCAACAAACTTAAATTCTAAAGTAATATTTTTCTATTATTAATGTTCTATTGATACAAATCATTTAACTATTATTAATGTACGTTTATGAATATTTACATTTTTGTTTCGCTGTAATCCATTTCTGACATATGCAGCAAAATGTTTTGTAAATACGAGTCGTATAACGTGTTTGATATCTATTGAATGAATAAAAAAATAAACAATAGTATAGACAAAAAGAAATATCATAACTAGTAATTAAATATTATAAAGATTATATTTATCATTTTAAATTGATATATATATATTTTTATTGATTATTATTATTATTATTATTATTATTATTAATCCTATATGTAACTAAAAATAACTATAAAATTACCTTAGACCGTAACTCGTTAAATAGCTGTTGATGCGATTTTTGAGGTATTTGATTTTCGTCGGCCAACTGATGCTCTTCGAACACGGTGATTTGTATTTGTAATGCATCATCTTCATAACCCTCCATGTTTTTGATGGCCGTCCGTAGTCCAAGAGCTATAAAACACATGTTAGAACAATATTGGTATATGATAATATTATGTATACGACCAGAAACGAGACACCGAACACAATAGGTACCTTAATTCAGTGTTATGAAGTATTCGAGTACCGAATAAATTATTCGAGAAAAATATAGCTTAGGATTAATTAAATAATTTTGAATTTCAAGTATAATATGTTTTAAATAAGCAGATGTATTTAGTAAATTAAATCATGATTTTTGATTGATTTTATTTATCTACTGTCCATCGATCAAAAACTCATCCGTAAAAATTATTATATGTTATATATTATACTACAATATTTTAATATATTATAGTATTTAAATTTGGATATTAGTTTTCTACGTCTTTTTAAAACTTATTTTATAGTATATTAGTGTTTACAGTAAAATATATTGCACGCGTAATGCATTTCAAAAGTATTCTTCACTACACTGTGCCGTTAGTAAGTAATAATATTACCCCTGGCTATTCATTAATCATTATATCAAACACACCAATCAGTTCGTTTCTGATGCACGTTCTTTTCCTCGGATTTTGTTCAACGAGTATTAGACAGTTGACGAAAGCCATAAGAGTTGTTTGATAAGCGAATGTGTCTGCCAGTTGTAGTTCCATCACTACGATTTCGTAATCATGTCGCAACTCTTGTTTCAACTATAAAAAATAAAACCATACACATATACGTGTCGTTAAACCGTTTCAAAAACTATATAGCCTATCATAGTTATAATATTTTTTTAATTATAGTGTTCGTCAAAGCTTACCTTGATGTGCGACAAGACAGACTTCACGAAAATCATTCCATCCACGGAGAACACGCATAGCGCGCACAACAGTTCGTATACTTGGAGCTTTACGGTTGTATTATTGCATACAAGTACTGCTAAAAATTAAAACATAGTAATATCATAATTTTTTGAACATCGTTTTTAATTTGATCAATACGATTGACGACCAATACGCGTATACACGTATATTATAATACATAAATATGTAGTGTAATATTATCGTGTAAATTGAAACTAATTTGAATAATTTATTGAAAACAAATTTTATGCAACAAAACTACTCGTTATAAATACATGCATCCATGTAATCTGCATAGTGTACTGAAATATGGTAATATTTAAACGCATTTAGATTAACTACGTCATCTACACAATAATAAAATAATATTATTAATTAAAGTAAACAAAATATATATTGTATACGAGTCAAGGTTCGCCTATGCACGCGTCAATATTACGTGGAAATAAGATTCTCATCAAAAATTATAATTGTCACATTAAATTGTATGAACAATAAATTAAAATTTATTATTAATTATTATCTACAATTATAATGTACCTATTACGATATATTATTACGTCATTATATTTTAGCATTATATCTTCCATGTTAATGATTTAAACGCTGAGTCAAATTTGTAAAATGAAATGAAATAGGTAGAACTGAAATTATGGTGAAATATAAGTAATTATATTATTGCAACAGGCTCACTTATAGAGAGTAACAGAAATAGACTGAAAAAATTTAGGAACCAGAGAGTTTTAAATCGAGTATAAAAAAGAACTAAGATCAAAGTTTTCGTAGGTATGGTAGCGTTTACGACAGTTATAAATTATAAAAACATACTTAGCAGAGTCTTCTGTAAATTATAGGAGGTTAAAGTAAAAAAAGTATGGAACTGAGTCTTTACATAATGTAAAACATTTGTTAACTACGTAAAAAAATAACTAGCGTATTAGATTAGCGATTATGTTACACATTGATATTACATTATGTATAGGTACACGGTGTTTACACTTCTACACATCTTCACAATAACCGATATTCAAAACACAAGCATATAACTTGATAAATGATAACAATACAGGAAAAGTAGGAATCAGTAATTTGATTTTTAAAATTGATATCACAATAACTTAATAAATTGGATATTTCAATTTTTTTAAACTAGAAAATAATAATTTAATATTTTTGAGGTATAAAAATCAATTGAAGAATAATATGAAATTTAATAATTATGAATTTCCAAAAATAATCCAAAAATTAAAACTGCATTTTTATTCGTATTACGAAGCTTATAACATATTTTAGAAGTTGAATTATTTCTCATTTCATTAAACTATTCAAACAGATCATAAAATGTAGATAATTTATTTTACTTAGAAAGCATAAATGACAATTACATATAATAAATTAAAAGTGAAGACGAACCTGAAGCCAAGTACGACGAGTATTCTAGATGAGTGGAAATGTATTTCAATCCAGTCCGGGACCTGACGACGGCACGCAGACATTCGACGCACTGTAACTGGTCCATTGTATCCACAAGAGATTTTCCGCTCGCCGCACCCAAGCTGCTCAACAACGTGCCCAGGCCATCTCTCTGCAGGAATTCTTCTATCCATTTCCTGTGAAACAGGAAAACAAACCGCAATCGATTAACTAATGTACGACATAAATATAGATAGCACGTGGTGAGAGCGTTTTGTTATTGCAGTGATTGATAAATAGCGGAGATAATACAAAGAATTTCACAAGACACATAATATGGGGTGGGTCGAGGGTAGTACTGCTATAACAGCAGTCCCGTTCGAACGTTGTTTGGGCGAATTATATTATACAATACAAAAATGTTGATGAATATTGTCTAATGTCTATATATTTGGATTAAACATTATCATAAATTTCCGTGACCAACTAAAATTAAATTAATAAATTATTATGAATAAAAAGTAGTAATACATAAATATGTTTTTGATAAAAATTATAGTTTCATTAACGAAAATATCGTACCAAAATTGGGATGAACTGTCTGCAGTAGCATATAGTCGTACATACCTAATCTACGGTTTATCCTCTGTTTATAGCTAATTTTTTTGTTTTTTTTTTTTTTATATAATAGGTACTATATAAAACCTCTGTAGTGATTTTTGAATATATCTAGTCATTTAAATAAGAATTAAGGGTTAGTCCTAAGACTGAAGTGCAGTCAATTCTACGATCTCATCACTATTATACCATAACGACGGTAACTGACCCTTTTTTTACACATCACCTAAACACTATCGTTATAATGTTAAGTGACAACAGATTAATAACAATTAACAATTGTTAAGACATTTTTTTCGATAAAACCATTATTATTCTTCCTCATTATGTGTGTATTAATTTTGACAGAATATTCAATTTACGGATTTATCACGATAACATGATATCAAAGATTGCAATTTAATAGTATTACAATAATTTGTCGGAGAATCATTAAAATATTATATTGATATGACCTGAACACAAACAATGACATATATTTGAATAGATTAGTTCTAATAGAAACGAAAATATTTTCTGAACAAGATAAAATCTTAAAGTCACACAAAACCCGGTATAATTTGTAAAACTATAAACATTGTAACATAATTATATACTGCATAATATACTATATTATTATATTAGAACATGATATACTGTGGTTAAAATATATTTTCATAATAAATACTCATATTATCTTACATAAATTATACGCGTGATGTTCCATAGAGTAACTACGGACAACGTTTAATATACTTGAAGTCGTCTTCATAATTTTTGAAGAATTTAAATACTACACGGCGAACAATTGTTTACCGAAATCGAAACATAATAGTTGAAACCTATAAATAGAATTGTATTTTGTAAAAAATAATGACATGTATTTACGTGCAGGTAAACAGATTAAACAACCGGAACAATTTGACGAAGAATACATTATATGACGTTATCCAACCGTTATGTTACTATGGTATATTATGTACCTGCCAACGGCTAACTTCAATCTCGTACATATTTTATAATTCTAGTCATGTAATAATATTATAATATATATATATAAGTATATAACATTACTGTGGTAAATAAATAATTATCATATGCATATGTGTAGATAGTTTTGATGTTGTAACAGAGCTGTTGACTAAATGATAAGGAATTCAATGATATTCGAGTGAGTATAAGTGTATATAACATTATCATATTATTATACATTTATATGCACTTAATATTACAATATAAGTCTTCAAAATAACCACCATTGGCCTTGATGGTCCACTATCAAAATGTATTATTATCATCTGGTATGGAACATTATACAAAAGAATTTGTGTGAGATAATATAATTTAATAATCTATAAAATCGGATGTTCATTTTATGGTATATTTGATGCTGGAATATTAAATTCCATAGTATCTATAAACAATCCGACGTGTGTTCTTATATAAATGGTCTTGACAACAGTCAAATTCCATATGCACATTTTTTGAGGTCGTTAATAATAATAGTAATCATAATCATTATTATTATTACTATTAGCATTATAATCCGAAGCTTTAAACAAACTACGTTTACATAATATAAATATAATATATGTGTAGACATAATTTTTGATTATCACAGCAACGGCATACTAATATTTTTTTTCTCGCCATTGATTTGTTTAGTTTTAATTCTATTTCATCGTTTTACATAACACCCCCTGAATTATTATCGACTTAAATAACCGTATAATTCATTTAAAAAAATATAATAACAATATAATAAAACACAATATAAAAAACGAACGATAAATAGTTTAAAAAAAATAAGTATTGTTGGGAAAAAATCCACGACACAATCTAAATGCATTCATTGAGAGCCATCGGCGAATTCAATGAAAACTGAGTTGACAATATTTTAATCGCATTATGTTTATTGTTATACTTTTTTTTTACAAAAATTTTTTGTGACAATAGTGCATTCTTACGTTAATAATTCTCGGGAAGACGCATAATACCACAACGTTTGGCGGCAGCGTGTACGATTACAGTGTTTAGTACGTGTTGTATTTGCGCGAGTTTACACTAACACCCTGGCGAATTTTCCGTGTCGACAAAAATATAAAATCATTCTGACAACGGTAATATGAAAATATGATAATTATTGCAATGTGTAATACGTATATTATGATAATACAATATACTGAATATTATCGAATTTTTCTCGTAAAAACTTAGAGAATGTGGAACGTTTAAGGAATGTAAGACTTTTACCTATTTAAACGGTCGATTTAATTACTTTATTAATAAATTCTTAAATTGTTAAATTAATGAAAGATAGATTCTCAAAAAGACTTTTTGTCCCCAAAATCTCTATTTTAACACATCGCAAGATTATCAGATTTACAGACATCTACGCTTTAGCGTCAAGTTCAACGTATAATAAAAAATCAGCTATAATAAAAAATTCCCTTAAAAGTTCTTCATTTTAAAAACATACAATAGATTTTTGAATCAGCTCACTATTATATGTATAAAGTTTGCACGGTAAGCCCTGAACAATCCTATGTTTATTGCACGTTCTCGTTGGTCGTTATTAATATGTATACACTTGAATTTTATTATTGTTATCTTTAATATTCGTTTAATCTGCTACAACGACTGTATGTAGTAATCAAAATTATTATAATAATTGTTCAACCATTGTTGTGGTGTTGACTTTTTACATTTTGAAAAGTTTATTCATGTGACAGATTGCAATAAAAGTTATTAGTGTTATTAGTTATATAACCAATAAAAAATACATTAAATGTTGATGTTTTCATTTTTAATTTAGTTATATACCGTATATTATATATTGAACAGTCTATTATTTAATAATTTAATATAATTTTAACTTGTAACTTAGTTAAACTCTATATGTACAAGCAATAGATCAATTAATTTTCAAGATTGTAATTTTTAAACAATTCAAAATATGGCTAGTTTTGATTTGATTTTCAATTCCCAGATAATTTTAAATATTAAATTTATGTTAACTATTTTTTTTCTCTACATATGAATTTAATTTTTTGAATGAATGAATGAATGAATGAGGAATTAATCAACTATTCCCAGTTTTTAGCTCTTTTGACTCATTTCATTATTTTGATCTCGTAGGCATTAATTTTGAGATGCAATATCTTGACATTTATAATTTATTTGATATTACTGTTACGTGATCATTTGAACTTATGATTATACTACTACATTTAAAATATTTATCATAAATAATAATAAATATGCAATATGAATATATCATTCTTTATTGAAAATAATCTTAACTTGAATTATTTTTGGATTTTGAATGTTTTTTGTTTCTAATAATAAAAAGAAAAAGAACCAAATAGATTATACTTTCGAATTAGAATTTTCCTCTAAAAATGACTAGACGGTCGCACCCTCGTGTATCATAAGACAGTGTATGAGCCGAAAAAATAGTAATAACAATAATATTTGGCTAATCGCAGCTCTTTCTCACTTCGTGGATCTCCGCGAACCATTCCTCATAGTCATAAATAAGATTTGTTTTTGACATCACGCGGCTATGAGGTATGCCATTTACGTCGCGTCTTATTTTATGTACGAGTATGATACAAATTTCATCTTCGTCCCTATGCATGATAAAATATTATTATAAGCACGCGGTTATTCCTAGAATAATCCCCGACTGGCAATAAATATAGCTCATCCGAGAGCCGTCACTATTAAAATTCCAGACTAGTTTCTATTACATAATGATGTCACGGGATAACATATACTTATAACTATCTTGTGCTCATCAGTTATACGTATACTATGATAGTTAAAGGCAATACCACTGGCATGACGTGCAATATACCTAATAATATTTAGTAGGATAGCCGTCCACGTCCACCGAAGTAGTGTTCGAAGTTTCGAACATATTTTACACTTTTATAATATTATGTTCATTTTTCTCATCCTCGTCGTAATACCATAACGTTATTGGCCATTACCGGAAATTTTACATTAATAACATTCCGAAAACGTAATTCGACGGTATTATGACGACGAAACTGTCAAAGACCGTTTTAAACACAGTGTTCATAATTTTATGTTGTACGGGTCATCGTCTTTATTTCTCTCACCCTCTAGACTCTCTCTCACTCACACTCTTTCTCGTTTCTTATTATACTTAATTTTGTACAAATACTATTAAAACTTTACACTCATGAAATTTAATAATTGTCTGGCTTGCAACTGCAGCGACAATGAACCAATTGTATTTCAATTTAATTTAATTCGTTAAGCCCTGCTGTCGACGATTTTTCTAAACGGATATTTTCAATTTCTGATCACCACCACTCCCCGTGATCTTATTTGTTTCAATTGAAACGACACACACAAATCAAAATATACATTATTGTTCAATTATTATTTTATTTTACCACGGACTAACAAAGACCATACATGGCATATGATTTATAGGATATATATTACATAGCTGTTAAACTGTTGACGAGAACATGCATAAGGGATATTTATTCGACTGAGTACTGCAGTTTGATTGTTGTTTACTTGAGTGTATTATGTTGTGTATGACTTATTAATACGTATCTAA